GTTAAATTCATCTTGGATCAAAGTCTTCAATACATGTGTATTGAATTCCAAGTCCAAGGGAAGGAAAAATAGATAAGAAACAAAAAGAAATCAAAGAATGAATATGTCAAGATGTGGAAATCATATTAACCAATATTTTAATTTCTAATGCAAAAGTTCATGAAAGAAATAATTTTAGTTAAATAATCATGAAAATGCAAAAATAAATTGGTTCTTAAAAATTATGTGTGAAAAATGGTTGTAAAATACTTAAAAGAGTGAAAAAGGAAGAATTAACCTTATTTATCCAAATGGTTAGGTGGTCGGCTCGGTGGTTCGAAGTGGTGGTCCGATGGTCCATGGCTCGTGACTCCAATGGCTTGGTGGTTGATGGGGACGTGGTGTGGGGGTAATATCGGTCGTGGTGCCAGTCGGCGGTGTGGACCGGTATCGGGTGGAACGGGGAGCATTTTTGTCGTGGGTCACATGTGGTCGAGTATCGGTCGGGTGAGTGGACCGATACTCGTGACCGAAACCTTACCGCGGGTCGTGTTTCGCGACACGAGGCGGGATGGATCGGCACGATGTGGGAAGATCGCGGGACGAGCTGGGATGCGAGACGGGAAGGATCAGGACGGGCAGGTCGCATGAGATCGCGTACCGGTCGGGATTTCGGTCGGGGCCGTGGGTCGGTACGTGTCGCGGGATGGGAGAAATCGGGACAAGGCGGGCTGCGGGATGGGGCAAAGCGTCCCGAGTATCGGTTGCAATTTCGGACCGATACGCGGGTCCGGTACTGGGCCTTGCGTGTCGTGGGACGAATGTGACTCGATACCGGTCGGGTATAACGATCGGCGTGTTTGACTGGTATCGGGTCGCGGTCCATGCGATTTTCATCGAGCTTTTTCTTCGTCTATACACATCGGATTGGAGATCCGAAAGATGCTACGGATTCTTGAGAACGAGATATTTCCAATGGTATGAAGATTGTATCCTGTTTCGTCGTGGCTTGAACTGTGAAAAAGCATGAAGTTGCGGCTTCGTAACCTTCCTTGACGGTCTTGTTCAATCGGTAATAACTTGCTAACCGTAATAGCAAATCATGTTCTGATTTTTCCTATGGCTTCATAAGACTGTCTTCTTCGTGCTTACTAAGTTTCAAAAACGTCCGTGCTGACATGGTACTCCGTTCATTCCATGAACTGAACAAGTCATGTTCTATCTCCTTTTCATTGTCCTTCTTAAAAACACAGTTGTTTGTATTTTTATAAATTTTTGTATAAAATCTGAAAAATTCATAGATATATAAAATAATGAATGAAAATGTTTAGA